TAGAGAGAACCCAAACTGCAGAGGAATGCCTGCTTTGACATCATTGTTGTTCTTCTTGTCCAAAATATTAACAAGTTAAATTATGGTGAAAGATTAAATGACCTGGAGATAGGGGGAGGGAAAGAAGTAGAAATAAGGAACCCAACATTGTAAAGTCACAATTTTACTTTAAGCGCCATTCTAAAAGTAAAAACCCAGCATATTCTGTTGGTCAACATTTAAAAGCTTATCTTAAAAAAGACAAAGCTGTTTTGCACTTACAAAATTCAACTTATTCTAAAAGTAACTAGAGTATGAAGCAGGTTTAGCAAAGAAGTTTAGTGCAATTTAGTGCAAAAGCAGTTCCAGCTATTAAAAGAAAAAAGGGAGGAGAGTAAAATCTGATTGTAGGGAATGTCATGAAGTTCAATATACATGCATCTATTTCACAAGAGCACATGCAAGGATCAGATGACAAAGGCTGAGGCAAAAATGTTACATTACCAGCATAATTCTAGCATACATCAGACAAGTTTAGGGAAATATGAAGCTACATTCTACAACCAGAGAAAACAGTTCTAACATTTGGTTTTGCTCTGAAAATTGTCTTTTTAAGAGATCTCATTCCTTGATAGAGAGTCTCGACAGCTTGCCTCTAAGCTCCCCCGCCTCCTCCCTATCTTGCACTGGCCATGATGTGCTTCTTCCCACAGCTCCCCTTGGCTGGAAATGGCAAACTGGAGCCCATAGGAGTCACAAGGCTCCCTGGCTACGGACCCTAATGGTAAACAAAGTGGTGCGGGCTCGTTTGCAGCTTTCCCAAAGCAGGCCTATGGCTCACTTTGAGGAATGCTGATATAGGCAGATGTTTGTGTTTGCACAGAACATCACTTGCAGTCAAATGAGGCACTGCACGGGCATAAAACTCACTGAAGAACTACGGCCTAAGGTCCCAATCTTGCAAACACATGTATATGCAACGTAAGAAGGGCCTCAGTATCAGACCGATGATCCAATCTCCACCAAGTGGTCCATTCCCTATCATTCTCTCCCAGCTTCAAACAGTCAGAAATGCTTCAATGTACAAGTATTTGTAAAATCAGGACCTAAATTAAGGTTTTATTCCTTCCTATTTCAGTTAGCATTCTCAATTCAGTTCAGCACTGAAAGAGAGTACTGATTCTAAACCTAGGGTGTGTGCCAACAGATTTCAAGACTTTTTGAGGGCAACGCATGACCAAATTACCAAAAAATATTTCTAGGGGTAGCAGAAAGAATTAGTTGGAAACAAAGAAGGATTATCATAATGCATTAAGTAATTTTTCAGACTAATACCACATTTTAAATCTGTCTTTACTAGAGCATCATGGTAAAAGGAGATTTAGCCAATTACTAAATGAAGTTTCAGACAGAATCCTGGTAGAGTTGTAACAGTATTAAAAGTTTTAGCAAATATGATGCAAAAGATTTTTTTAAAGGGATAAGTGGTGGAGGAACATTATACAGCATCTATGAAACGCACAGTAGTCGCCACTGAGGGAGGATTTAAGAATATAGCTATCTACACGGGAAAGCTACTTAGAGGGCACTCTTTTTTTAGTCAAAAATGAAAAAACCTTACCAGATAGCAGGGATGTAAAATGCATTCCAAAATGTATTCATGTAACTGCTAAAAATCGTAGCTGGGATGGGTAGGGAGCTGATCCAGCTCTTACCGGTTAACCTTTTACATCCCTACCAGATAGTCCCATCATCATGGTAAATTTAAGCAAATTCTGTTTGGGCTGATACATTTTCATTATAATTTTTACAAGGCTGAACTGAACAAGTTCATTTCAAGTTTCCCTTTTTGTAAGCTAACACCACGTTCTATCGAACTCTGAACGTTTGCCTTCCCTATCTTACTCACCCATAGCTCAACTGTACAGCAGCAACTTGAGGAAAAGCTGTAAGTATGTAAGGGTTAACTGAGGTTAGTGTTACCATGGTATTTCTTCTACTTGATAGACAACATTTACTACCCTTTCCCTTCCTGCTAGTTAGGGTTGATAAGAGCATGCAGCTGTACAAGAAATGTAACTTTCTAATGAATACTCTGTGTGTAAAAGTAATGTTATCTTCCCCTTTCCAGACACATAAAATATATATTCAGGGTCACATTCCCAACCCTCCTGCTCTCTGCTGTAAATTGCTGATTAAGGAAGTTTGTAGTGTGAGAATTGCATGCTTCAACTAAAAGTGCTGTAAACAGGGGCAGGAATAATTATATTCATTACAGTTATTACTATTCATTATATGGGTGTTATATATTACTAAATAAGGCATTAAGGGAAGTTGTAATAGATAAAAGAATGAACCTGTGGTTAATTTATTGCTCACTTGGATCAGGGTTGGGGGCGGGGGGAGGTCTGAGGAAAAGTAAGAGTCAGCAATAAAGAAGCCCATCTACTCCATCCGCCTCTGGATCACCTTTTCTAACATACACAGCCACCTACTCCTGGGGGAATTCTGCACATGTAGACTTGGTGGTTTATAGAGATGTCGATTCACCAATAAGCAAAAGTTTATAGGTTAATGCCAAAGACCAGCGGCAGGCTTTGAACCCGTCTAGTAGGCCACGCCCCCAGCTTTTTTTTTTTTAGTCCTGCCCCCTGGGGGGGTTTCCAGGGAATTCCCTTCCCACCCACATCCCCAGGCAGCAGCAGAGTGAGTGGTGAGGTGGCAGCTGGGTGTGCTGCGACTGGAGCCAGGACCTGGTGAGGCTGTTCCTACTGGGGCAGCCTCACTGTGGCCCCAGTTCCAGCTCCAGTGGCCGCTATGTGCCCAGCCAGCGGGGCCAAGTGCCGGGGGAAAGCAGCTGCCTCGACCAGCAGGGCCAAGCACCAGGGGGAAAGCGGCTGCCCCCAAAATCCCGTTCTCCTCACTACCCACTTTAAAAATACTGAAGTATGCTGAAACTTACATTCATGCATTAATAAGTGAAACTGAAGCAAATGTGCTGGCTTAAGCTATTTAATATAAATCACCACAAACAACTTTTACCCAAAATGAATTACTAAGAAATCATTAACTCTTAATCACCTAGCCAAAGAGAAACCAAGATTTACCACACAAAGCACTGTTATCCTTCATTATCTTCACATGCAGCTCTTAAAAGCTCAAAGAATCTTTACTAAGGTGTGAATTGACTAGTATTCCAGCTGGAGGAATATTTCTATTTTAGCAGAAATGTTTAGTTCTCTATTCTTATAAAAATAAGAAGTATTTAAAATTACTGTATTGAATATGTAAATTATCAAAATGAATATGCAAATGTTTAAGTGCAGGTCCACCAACTGTTTTTGAGTGAGTTGGTGGTCCTCACTATGAAAAAGGTTGGGAACAACTACAGGCAGTCCCCGACTTACGCGGATCCGACTTAGCCCCGTTCGTAAGTGCGGATCCGAGGTTTCTCGCCCCGGAGGTCGGGGCGAGAAAGCCCCGTTCGTAAGCTGCTCCGGTGCCCCTGGTCTGCTGGAGACCGTCTCCAGCAGACCAGGGGCACCGGGCGGGTTCCCG